CCCCAGGCATTGTTTTCTTCGCCCTCTTTATACTTGGTTTAATCGCCATTTCATTGCTATCTGCTGTACTTCTTTCTCAAGATTCCTTCTCTTTTTTATAACCATTTCCAATTTTTCAAAAAATAGAGAATGAACACAGTGACCAGTGAGAAAACATTTGAGAGAAAGGTTTCCCAATTTCTTTATGTTAGCTTCTGCACTCGTGAGTGGTGACCTAGCTTTCATTTCCCCACTTATATCTTGTACCATAATCAGGATTTACCATTCTGAATGTTTTAATAGATAGATAAATTATATTGGGTAGTATTAGATTGGTAGCATTTCATATATACAGGGAGGAGCATTACAGCGGACAGAATCAAAAGTTTAGTGTCTATAAAGAAATTAGTTGATAAGACTGATAATCCAATCCAAAAATAGAGATTTACCAATGGGGCACCTACTAACTAGTGCTGTTACTTCTTGCTAGAGTATCGGTGTTTAGTGAACTTATCCCGCATTCCCGCTTAATGACTGATTGCCACTGGCTCGCTGTTAAATGTTCACCAGGTGATTGGGAGAAAAGTTTTAGCACAACAATTGTTTGCTTTATGTTGGAGCTTATGTGCATTGTATGGATGATAATAGAAGGATTGGGTGTATGCCTGGGTTTTTCCAGCTTTTCTATCGTCATCACATTTTAGCCGGCAAGAGACTGCATACCACTAAGCTTCTCACACCCTTTACAGTGAGTTGATTTACTCTGTCTTCCAATATAACTATTATTATCATTGCTAGCGGTATGTATATTACTATATATTTCCTACTTGTTAATCCACATTGTGAAAGTCTATAAGTGATGCAAAGTGTTTTTATGATATTAGAGTGCATTAACTATTAAGTTCAAATGAATAAGCCTAAAAATGAGTAGATGGATTTCAACATTTGCTTGCTCTAATGAAGCATCATACTCGGGGCATGTTAAGACACATTGAATTACTCCTCATAAGATAATGGCCTTTTGTATTACTCATCCCACTTTAAACCTCAGGAGGTTGATGACAGCACATCAGAACCGGAAAATACAACCCCACCACCGGAAACCTGGAAGGGATCGGCAGAAGGATATCCATCTAAAGTGGTGGCAGCGCCACCTAGTCCCACAAAACGATCCAGAGAGTCTCCTTCATCATCGTTCAGTTCAGCTATAACACCTTTGATATCTCCACGCACTCTTCCAATTTTTGAAGTGAAAGATGGGGCAAGGCCTTCTTGGAAGATCCATAAAGAAGCTCCTAGGCTCTCACTTGACAGCCGAGCCACAGTTGACTCTAAAGGAAGCCTTCAACCGAAGGAGCTCCAACAGCCATCTTCATATATATCAGCAAGCCATAGTGGAATTGCTAAAGACAAGGTTTTTACTAGTGATGATGATGTCAAAGCTCGCCGACATCCGAGTGTCATTGCAAAGCTGATGGGACTTGAGGCATTGCCGCAATCCGTTTCAGAGACCGTACAAGGAGCTGAGCTGAGAAGATCTGCTTCAGAGTCAAGAGTTTCAACAAGAGACTTGTTTAACTGCCATACAATTGATGGAAATGACTTCGAGCTCAAGGGAACCAACCACTTGAACTCTCACATGCCAAATTGTGTAGTGGTAGATAATGTTGAAATCGACAGTAGGAAGCCTATGTCAAGAGCTTTAAGTTCAACATCATGGAGCCCACCACAATACCGTAAAAGCTTTTATGATAGACTTGACATTTTTCCGGACCCTAAACAGACAGCCCCACTTCACGTAGATATTGACAAGAAACTTGATGGACCTTCTAAAGATCTAGAGACCTTGAAGCAAATTTTAGAGTCCTTGCAACTCAAAGGACTCCTACGTGCCAAAAAGCCTTCTGGGAGAATTGATCAGCTCAATGTCATATATGATGATCCAAGATTCTCTTTTGAGGAGTCTCAGATAGTTGTGATGAAACCTTCCAGATCCATCTCATCAATCAACAGAAAGGATATAAAATCCAGTGATGGCAGTTTGAGGTGTCCAAATTCAGTAATAAGCCCCAGGGGTCTGAATGTTGACCCCCAACAAAGAGAGAGCGAGTCAATTCAAAATCAAAAGTTCTTTCCCTTACAGTCACATAAAGGTATTTCCAGGAGGAGTATATCCGAGAAAAATATCATTAAACAGTCGGGGGCTAAAAATCCATGGGAACATGTTCATCAGGAAGATGAGGTCATGACCCTTGCTGCGGAAGAGGTATCTTTTTTTCTGGAAGCACTACTACTTCATCATTTCAGACTCATGTAGTGGCAATTTTTTTTGCATTTATTAAAAGAATATTGCTCGGGGGCAATAAAGCTGGACATTCTCAACACACATTCCTATTTGGCTCACATTTATTGGGTGGTGAAGAATTAGACTCGTGTATTAAGATATGTCACACCGGCCATATATAAATATTCAAACATGATAATTCCTATCAGTTTAACCTTTTAGTGTAGAACCCCAAGTTTTAAGAATCTGATAATATTTCCCTACCATATTCAAATTTAACGTTGCCCTATGACTAATCTTTCCACAAAGTTATAATGTACTTCTAAAATAACAGTTTTTTAATACGGAGTACTTAAATTTTTATGCTAATGTTTCTTTTTTTGGATGGCATCATGCTCAATAGAGATTGAATAGAGAAGAGAACAATGAAGGAAGAAGCCTTTTGAAGAGGTGTGACAAGCTGATTCATAGTATTGCAGAGATGACAGCAACAGATCTGCAACCCAGCCCAGTATCAGTTTTGGACTCCTCATTCTACAAAGATGAGTCACCATATCCTTCTCCCACAAGGAAGCGACGCATTGGATTCTTAGGTATGTAGCAAAAGCCTTTATATGCCAACTCAGGTAGTTTCATCTAATTACACACGTCTCCTTTGACCCCTTGCCTAGTTGCCTGATTCATACTTTTATTTGAAGGGGATAGAGCCATAGAGTAAGTGCTAGCGTATACAAGCTTTAGTGTTTCCTGGAGTGTATGATAGATTGCAATTATATGTGGTGATTAGTTGGATATATCAGCATGGCATCATTCATAAATCATGGCACTAAGACATGATTTTTTATGGAGTTCTTTTTTCTCCTTGTGTTAATAAGAAAAAATATACGCGATAACAGAACTGTAGTCATTTATGCCTAATGATTTTTTATCAGTTGGACCTGTGCCTGTTATGATTTTTTTGCGGAGTTTTCTTTTGCACATGTTTAATAAACCATTAAGGGGATTGCAGCTGTTGCCTTGAAGTCCACAATGCATCGGTACATATTTATAAAATATTAAAAGATTTCTCTTTACTTTTATGTTTTGCTTGTGAATAGATAGAAAATGTTGGTCTCACATATAAAAAGGTAAAGAGAGCTGTCAATTTTACTTTGTGCACCATGTAGGTGACTTCGGCAAGGAGATATCAACAACAGAAATTTCACCAGTCCAATTGAAGTCGGATGATGCAGCCTTTGACTCTGATTTTAGCTATATTGCAGACATTGTTAAGGCTTCACATTACCTCCCCAAAGGATCAGACATCTTTCTACTTTTGGAGAAACAACAAATTTTCAAACGAGAAGACACATCAAAAAATTGTAGACTGCAAAGAAGGCTGATATTTGACACTACCACAGAGATTCTTAATAGGAGTGAGAAACAACTGCCTCCATGGAAAGTTTATTCATGGCCAAACTGTATTTATGCAAATTCATCCACAGAAAAAAAGGTACTGTCGGAGTTCCAAAGAATCCAAGAACGGGGAAGTTCGGATGACTTGTTTGAGATCATTTGCACTGCTTTAAAAAAAGATCTGGCGCAAGATGGTGTTAATGGCTGGGCAGATTGTCCGGTAGAGATGTCAGAGGCAGTTTTGGACATAGAACGGCTCGTATACAAAGACTTGATGGGAGAAGCAATCCGTGATCTTGCATCATTTGCACCACCTCGTAGGAAATTAGTCTTTTGAACTGAGAGATGCAGGGATCAAACTAATAGAAGCTGACTGACTGCTTCTATTATATGCATCCTTGTGTTCCAGTTATACATCTGTTTTGCCGCATTTTATTTGGCGAGTTCTGAGTTGGAGTCAGCTGCCTTTCGAATAATCTTACACATGCTTAGGCGCCTAGTTGACTTTCATTTACATCCCCTTCGGCTTTGAAAATATTGTATGCACTTTGTGTTTGATTTTAGCTACTACTTTTAATGGCTAGCTAACAGACCCTTCCAACAGCTAGATTTGAATTAGGTTTAAATAAGTAGCAGTTAGATAGGGTGTGGTATGATCCTAGTTAGTCTATTCCGAGAATATGTTTGTGTGGTCTGATTTGTTTAAGTCTGAATTAGTTTGATTGGATATTATGTCAACTTTAATATTATTATATTTATGAATAATAGTGTAACAGAGTTCACATTATAGTTATTATAAGAATACAGATTTTAATTTCCCTTTTAAAGTATTACTACCTCGTATTTATTCACTTGTTCTTATAGTTTTTCAAAGAGATCAAGAAACAGATGATATGCCAAGTGTAGAAATGCGTGAAAGTAGAAGATGGTAGATGAAAAGTATGGAATAGATGATGGAAAAGTAGAAAGTATGAAAGCAAAGAAGAAAAAGTAACCAAAAACGAAAATTGAACATATAATAAAAGACTTCTAAAAATAAATAGAACAAATACTACGCAGTAAATTGTGGAGCTAGTACTACATAATCTCGGAGTATTATTTTACAATATTTAACATTTTAAATTGAACATTAAAGAATTAGTCAATTTTTTTTTGTACATACATAATCTTCCAGTGTTAACAAAACATTTATCAGGGATTGAGAGGCTTATATTCAACACAATAAACCCTCTCTTTAACAATTACGTAGTACATGATTTACATCTAACTATATTCAGCAAGGTCGTCTACAAACATTTTAAATAATTAAATATAAATAAAATGGAAATATATTCTATAGTGGCAGCAAGTCTGTCGACCTTTTATTAAAGAGGAACAACACCTGGGTAGCATGGAGTATGTGATAACTGGAGTTGATTAAAAATGAAGAGATGTGATTTTATTGAAGTAGAGTTTGATGTGATTCAATTTATCCAGCACTACTCCAGGGAAATTTACTGAGACTATGATTAAACAACATCAGTTTCCCTAAATATGACTAAAAAATAATATGACTAAACATAGATAATAAGACTAAGATACTCTTTTATATTCCTGATGGTCTAAACTTAAAAAAATTCACTCCATTTACTTGAATCACTGCCCTTCGCTCCCACCATCACTGCCCTTTTCATTGCCATCACTGGTCTTCCCACCAGTGTCTGCTCTCATCAATCTCACAGCCCTTCCCTCCAGCATCAATGTCCTTGTATGCAACTCATTGTCCGCCGCCTGCATGTATTTGTGACTCACTAGTCACTGCCCACCATTAGAAGTCCCCATCCAAAAATAGAGTGAACAAGTTTTTGAAAAAATCAAACGAAGAGAAGTAGAGCAAAGAAACAATATACAAAAACCCAACTTATGTGATATGGAAGTAATTACAGCAAATAATTCTTAATTTTATACTGCAAAGCTAATTAAATCTAAAGTTTCGGGGGAACACATAAGGAACAGATTTATCTTGAAGATTGGAGAAGGGAGCTCGATAGAGAATGAAGGGAGGATCTTAGAAGGAAGATTGATGAGGGCAACTGAAGATGGATCAGGAGATATATTGAGGCGTATGATCTGCTTTAATGAAGGATTAGGGATTAGGGTTATAGATTCAACAAGGGCATGTTAATCCATAAAAAAATAATCAACTAACTATTGATTGTATGTCATCTTTAAATATTACGAGTATACAAAATGACTACTATATATTAGGTATGAAAATCATGTGATCATATATGTGGAAACTTGATATTACCTCTTTCAGTGGAGTTAGCATAACAGGAGGTCGACCCTCCTTACACACACCATTGACTATGCTCCAGTCTAGACGCCTCTTTGCTACGTAGAAATTTAATATGGAATGTGAGTCTTGCAACGTTACAAGGTGGTCATATATGTCACTCGATCATTAATACATACTCCCTAGTCCCTATTATTTAAATACTAGAGCCAACATTGTTGAAATTGCAGGAATGTGCGATTCTAAGTTAAAAAATCGTGACGGAGTTAACATACAAAAATACATCTCCTTTAACATTTCGAATGCAGAACTCTTGTAAATGACGCGCTCCCCGATGACCCATAGAGGAGTCAGTGGACAAAAGCTTTCAAAGGATGAGCTCTAAACTCTGACATGTCCAAGCTTGCGACCAGCTCTTCATCTAACTCCCAAGTCACAACTGCAGAATTTATTGACAAAGTCAACCACAACTTCACAACATCACATATTATTGTTGTTGTTATTCTTTAAATGCAACGACAAAAGAGGGAGATCTAGGAAATGGACACATACATACTGTCCCCTACTATGATGATGTAAAGTCCTGAGACAAGCTGGTGTATCCCTTTCTGCATTATAAGAGCCACTGTTTGGTTACCTATTACAACCATGAGAAAACAAGTTTTCTGAAGGAACGAAATCCAAATTTAATAATTATGGTCGAAAACAAGAACATGTAAGATAAGAGATAGATGAGGTCGGACCTTGATTGAATAATCTCTTTCATGAGATTCATCAAGAATTAAGTTTGTGGCCTAGTCATATCCTTTTAAAATTCCCTGAACAAAGACAGTATTATTCCAGCCACTGCGATAATACACAATTCTGTTCAGTCATACTCTCTTCATCCAACAATGCATCTTCACGAGATTTCATAACGTTTGTGTGGCTCAAATTATTGCATATTTAAAAAAAAATGAACGAGGTTATGCCAATCTTTGTTAATTTGTAACCCATTTTCACATGTCAAAAACAAGTAGGGCGGAATGAGTAAAAACGAACAGTACAAAAAACACAGAACATAATATGGAAGGAAGTCAAAGTTCATGAGCTCACCACTATATTACGAATTTACGACCATCAAATTATTGCATATTTTAAAAAAACAATATCAACAAGGTAATGCTAATCTATGTTAATTTGTGACCCATTTTCACTTGTCAAAAACAAGTAGGGTGGAGGGAGTAAAAACGAACAGTACGAAAAACACAACATAATATGGAAGGTAGTCAAGGTTCATGAACTCACCACTATATTATGTCCATCATTGGTATTCACTGATGTGGCATCTGGAGCATAAATAGCTAATAAATCAGTTATTATTCAGATATAAGTATAGAGCCAAATAGCATACTTAGCATAGCAAAATACTGGGGATAAAATAGAGGGAATTTGGAAAGAGAAAATTTAGGGGTAAATTACAAAAAATGAAGTTAGATCACAATAAATCAATCTCAGATATTTGTTCAAAGTTCAAACACATATAATTTATTATAATATAAAGACTCAAACATACAAAACAATGCGTAAAGTCTCAATGACATGTGAGTTTCCCTTCCTTCAAATCTTCAAAGTAAAAACAAACGTTAAAGGTCCATTTTAAAATTCGGAAAATGCTGCATACAGAAGAACCACGACTATATGCAAATGTTTAGTTGCATGTCTTGTTAGGAAAGTGAACTACCTGTTGATTTTCTACCTCTTCCTGTCTCGAGGTTTTGTGTACAGATATCCCGCGTCGCCCCATCGCTACAAGATGTAGAAGCTTCCTCCTAGCCTCATAAACAGAGTTTGGTTCAATGAGGCAACCCCTCTCATAAGCCTCCCTAAGGAAAACAGTGTGCCTGTACCCTTTAGTAGATAAGTAGAAGATCCCAGGATGATCGAGGAACAAGTCCCTTATATTCAGATCAATCCCAAACCATTTCCTAAAATGGCTTATCTTTTCAACCTCCACCATCTTCTCCACTGTCAAACTCAGGAACTCATGAACTATCCCAACTGCCCTCTTCTCCTTTTCTATCATTTGCCTCTTACTTATCTTCTTCTTCTCCTCCTCCTCCTTACATCCCCATTCCTCATACGGACCAATATATGGTAAGCCTTGCCACTGTTTAACTTTGGCCTTGAAGTTCCTCCTCAACCTCATTCCCGGAGGATATGAATGTTTGAAGCTATATAGAATTTCAGTTCTATCCAGACCGCCGGAATCCTCTTTGCAACACTCCTTGATCCTCCAATTTTCAACAGAAGCAATTAGGGTCTCCTTTGGGATTTCAGTTACTAGTTTCAATACATGAGTGTTTGGCTCGTTTCCATGATCGAGTGTGAATATATGAGAATTTGATGAGAGTACGGAGCTCTCGAAATCATCAGGAAGACCTAACTCTTTCCAGATCTTGAAGATAGCACGAAGCGGCACCGTTTTGGTGAGGGACATCGATAGAATTCTGACCAAGCGCTCCACAGCAAGGGCCAATGAAGAACTGGTGGATTGTGCCTCTAATCTAGAGATTTCCATGGCTGTCTCAGTGAGCGCGCAGTAAGGTTGAGATTTGGCGGGGTGGTAGAATATGTGGAAAATATGAGGATACCTGCGGAGGAAGGCTATGGCGCCGCGGTTGAGGTGGAGTCTCTGAGATAGGCGGTTGAGGAAATCCACTGAGACGGAAGGTGGATTGGAGCGGCTGGCGAGGATCAGGTCTTGGATTTCAGTGACTCTGAAGAGGTTTTTGTAATTCTCCATGAGCTTCTCGAAGGTTATGTCTCTTGCTCTAGATGCTACGTACTCGGCCGATGTGGTTTTGCAGCGGAGTTGGAAAGTTGCAGCGGCGGTGGCGCTAGTGGTGGTAGGTTTCGAAGTTAGATTCTTTAGGATTCGAATTACCATAGTTTGAATGGCTTTTCCGCCGCTGAGCGTCGGCGGTACGACCCTGCTGGTGCGGAATGCTGGCGGTGGACGGTGGCGATCGGGGCTTGCACAACCGCTCCAGGAACTGAACTTTTTGTCAATTTTATACGGAGGTTTTCAATTTTACTAAAGTAAGCTAACTTGGTTGTTTCCGATGAAATTTAGGGAGTTCTGGCTAAAGTGACTGCATTGATTGATTTTGATTATTTAAGAAAAAATTATTTTTAAAATATATTTTATGAATAAAATAAAGAAAAATCATATGTAAAAATAGTTAAAATGGTCATCTACAGTAACTTCAGCCAATACATCCAGAAAAGTAACTTCAATCTTACTTTTTCTGCTTATTAAACAATTCAGCGCGCGAAAAACAAAATTAACGTGTTTGGCGAAAAAGTTGACCGATAAGTCTGATAAACCAAAAAACAGTGTTGCCAAACGGTCTCTAAATGTTTTTTTAAAGAATGACACAAATAATATTATTAATACATTAATCCCTAAAAAAATACATAAAAATAAGATCGATTTTTAATGGAATTTTATCAATTCAGGACTTGAAAGATACACAAACTATCAATCCGAGACCTGAAAGATGAAATGTATCGATATAGGACCCAAATGATGGAAAACTATCAATCTAGGACCCGAATGATTGAAAACTATCATTGTAGGACCTAAATTTTCATAAATTTAATTAATTTTTTTGTTTAAAAAAAATTAAATATTATTTAGTTTTATTAAACTAATAAACATTTGTGAAGAAAAAATCATTAAATGTTAGCAATGGAATTAATAAAAAATTAAATAAATCAAAACCTATGAAATGTTAGGTCCTAGATTGATAGTTTTTCATCATTCGGGTCCTATACCGATACATTTCATCTTTCAGGTCCCGAGTTGATAATTCATGTATCTTTCGGGTCCTGGATTGATAAAATTCCATTTTTAATTGAAATAATGACCAATATTAAATTATTAATTAAGGACTAAATCATGTTAATTGCAACAGTTCATGTGAGCTTCTCTCTCTAGGCGGCCGTCTCCCTTAGGGTTAGAGGTTGTTTTTCTCCGCTGTCGTCTTCGACGAAGTGTGGCTTTCTTGTGCGGCTTTCGTCCGCCTTTCGTGAGAATCTCTTCTTCGCTGGACCACAGAGCCTATATGGCGGCCAAAGGTTGGGTACCCCTAGCAGCAGGTACAAAGTTTTGAAGATGTCGTTCATCGTTGAGATCAGAAGATCATGGACGAAGCGTGGAACTAGGGGTTGAGACAGATTTGGACCCCTAATAAATTTGATTTCATTTCAATTTCTGTCTATTTTCAGCCCCCTCTTCCTCCCCATCTTTGAAAATCTGTAATCTCATATTAAATGTCTATATTTATCAAACATGACATATTTTACTCGGTGTTTGGTATTCAATCAATAATTTCTTATTTTAGTGAGCTTCTTTGTGACTTTGTTATATTGACGTTAGATTTTTTTCCATTTTTAATAGGTCATTTAAAATTAACAGCAACTATTAACTTCAAAAACGAGCTTTACTTATTTATGATGTGATTTTATAAAGATAGAGATCCAAGGATAGTTTTGTGTACAATTCTTTTATTATTTCATAGATTGATCGGTGCTATGCCTGCATATTTCCTTTCCACTTTGAGTCTTCGGCATCCTAATATGGGGAGCTAGATAAAAACATAAAAGATGATCTTTTTTCCTTTATGTATCATAGGAAAGAGGTTTGTGTACATTTCCTTTATTATTGCATAGTTTGATCGGTACTACACCTGCATATTTCCTTTCAACTTTGAGTCTCCGGCATCCTAATGAGGAGCTAGATAAACACGTAACACATAGTGTGGGTTAATTTCTATTAGGAAGTTGTCCTCGATTTATGTATCCAACATGTGTCTTACTTGGGTTCTTCAAGTTTTGAACTTTTGTGTAATTGGATGTTGAGTTAGTAATTTCGTGTTCTACCTTTTTCTTAGTGAAATATCAGAAAGTCTTTTTATGTTAAAGTCTTTGTTAGCATCGAATTACATTGTGTTTTGACTATGATTCTAATATTCTATGAAGAGGACTATTAAATTACCAAAAGCACCTGCTATATAGGCAAATTCCCTATGAATTGTATATATTCTAGATATGTTATAACTCTAATACATTCATACTTATATATAACATCTATACCTGGCTTTTTCTCTTATTTTAACTTTAGTCTGATGCGTGTATGCCGATAAATTTGATTCATAGGGTAACTATTAGCCCAGCTGGTGTGTATAAGCGGACATGTGTGTATAAAAATGAAATAAGTGTGCATATTTTATGGGTTGTGACATCTTTAGTTTGTGAAAAAATGAAAACTAATCTTAGGGAATTGAACCAAAACATAACATATTGTTTTTGAATTTCTAGCAAAAGAACAATGATATCTGAATTGAAAAAGTTATTTAACCCCCTTATTATCTTCTTTTTTTTAGGGAAGAAGAGGAACTAATTTTTCCATTCGTACTTGCTTCATTACTTCTATATAATAAAAAGGTAGATTCTACGGTACCCATAAGGTACCGTACCTTTGTCCACATGGACCAATCAGAATCATGCAGTTGAATTATTTAAATCTAAATTAAAAGGGATTTAATGATTTGGACCAATCAAATACATGGTAGGTACGGTACCCCATTTTTTAAATGGGTACCGGAGTTGTCACCATAATAAAATCATATCTACTTTTTAAAAAGGTCACTGTTAGAATCATGTCTACTTTTTACACATATTTAAAAAAGTTTTTTCAGGCTGAACATTAATGCAGTTGTACATTATCATTTATATTCATGTTTGTTTCCAGATACTAAATGAACGAGTGAACAACAGAACTATATGCACACCTAATTTTTTTTTATGAAAAATAACTTGATGAGGATGTAGTTCCTTACATAATCACATGTAAGGAGTATCTTTTTGCATAATTACAACTTTAGTTCAGTGCATGAAATTCCTCTCATACCACCATTGCATTATTAGTTCTCTAACTTCACTTTTTTGTATCACTTATTGCTATATGATGGGACAAAATTCTCGGAAAGACCATTCATGTGCTGATGAGGTTTTGCTGCCACTAACTGGTACTCCCTCCGTCCCCCTAAGTTTGGGACGGAGGGGTGTGGTGTGGTTTTTAAGAAAAAGTGAAATTGTGTGGTTGATATTGAATTGATAAAATGTAAATAAAGTAAGAATGAATTCTAACCACTCAAATGTTACCAAATATGGTATGGGACAAACTTGAAGTATGGTATTGAATCGATACTCTTTTGCGCACGTTACGTTGTTCAATTATGGAGACAAAAAGAATACTTTGTTTGTCACTTTGTGGTAATGATGATTCTTGGAAACTTAGTATTCTTTATGGTAGCACTTTTAATTCTATACTTTTTTTTTACTAATCTGGGTAGTACATTTGGTGAAAGATAGACACATAGATGGAACTAATGAATGAAAGGGTTTACACCTCTAATCTTTTGGTTTATGTTTTATACATTGCATTTTCTATATTTTCTCCTTCTTCTAATTCTGCATGGCATTTTCTGTATATTTGGTTCCCTACTAATTATATGCAATCAAGAAAACTGGAAAAACCCGGCATCATAATATCATATAAATTCACAAGATGCATGTATGGAACACAATGACTTAGTATGTGTTGTAGGGATAAGAGATAGAGGAAATATAATTATACAAGTGTATGTAACAAAGTACTTTGTACAGTATATGTTAGGGAACTAAATATGTGAAGGGATCTTTGAGATACCTACTGCCATGAGTCTTTTGTTTTTTGGAAGAGCAATGAGTCGTTTTTTATACTACGTAGAAATTAAAAATGTGGTGTGGTTGAAAATCTTGGATTTGATAAAGTTTCATGAGCCGTTTTTACAGAAATATAGATAGGGTGCTGTTGAAAAATATAGATTACTCCCTCCCCCCACGGACATATGGAAAATGATGTTTGTCCCACTTTTATACCCACTTTTGTACCCACCCATGTTTGTGAAGTTATTTTTTTTTGTCTGTGAATTCCTTCACAGACAAAATATGTCTGTGAAGGAATTCAAAGACATATTTTGTCTGTGAACCGGCTTCACAGATAAAAAAATAGCCTTCACAGAGATGGGTATAAGGTGAGTACAAAGTGGTGGGTACAACAAGCATGGTTGCGGACATATATACGCTAGAAGTTCTAGCCCCTTAGCCAAACTACTCTTTATAGCCCTTTAACAAAAAATGAGAAGTGACTGGTCTGATACCTAATATTGAAGAATCGAAATCTTATCTGTAATTTGACCCGACCATATATAATTTCACAGAGTTAAGAATGTGAATTTTAATTTTATACAATTGATCAGGACAATTCAACCAATTCATATATAATTTCCTAATTTGTAATCCCGTGCAACGCACAGATGAAAGACTAGTTTAGTGTTGTTTTTGTTAAGCGACCAGCGAATAGTTGTGCCATACTCTAGCTTGGACATCTACTATAGTACTATCTATGCTTCTCCGATGCTTTTCCATTATATCCCTCTTTGTATTTTGAACAATATTAATGCTCAATGAATTAAGTTTATTCTCGTAAAAAAGCAATAACTTTGTACTTTTAAATTGAATTTCATAGTCCGTATAATAAAAATAAAATTTATTCTAATGGAGTTTCTAACATCGTATACTAACGGGGTGTATTGTATTGGGAGTTAGTGACAAAATTTTAAAAGCTCACGGATTTTAAACGTTTAGGTGTATTCAATGTGGTATTTTAAAAAACCACAAAAGTTTGAGTCTATTCAATATAGACTTTTTAAAGTTTATGAAAGTCTAGGCGTATTCAATTTTTCGTTCATTCTTATGGATGTCTAAAATCATGGATTCTCGTGAACTTTTAACTCATTCTTAGTACAATAATTCTCTGCAATTGTCTCTTCCTTTCACAAAAGATTTCTGTGTACTTTTATAGTCGTCTTCTACTCATCACAAGTACACATAAATCTGATTGCATATTTAGATAATTATTTAGCCGGGAACACAAACCGGCCAACAAGTCTTGGACGAGTACGGTAGTACCAGTTAGGACGGAAGGTGGGTACCGGGATGGTCTCAGTATGCAAGATTTGAACATTAATTTTTGATTTTGTTTCCTATCATTTTACGATAAATAAATTTGAACAAAGAATTTCTACATTAATACTGATACACAAGATAAACTTATCTTTTCAATTTAATAAATAAATAAATAAATAAATAGTGATATTTTATATGTCGTCTTAAGAAGAAAAATGTAGGAGTGGAATCGGTTCAGTTCTTGAACCGTTCCCATATCGATTCGATTCTTGAAGTTTTTAGAAGAACCAATATAGGAGTCGGTAGTATTAAATCGGTGCAATTTTGGTACGTTGTCGGTTAATCATTAAGATTTTTTTACTATTAATGTATTTCATCGTTAAACCGCTAACACATAAAAATATAATTTCAAATTACTAAATATTTAACGTAAATAAGTTAAGCTAAAAATGAAAAGAATATTATTAAGAAGAAAAGCTTGATTGCACTTATTTGTACCACATGTAGCAATGAGTGTAACGTTTGTGTAATTATCAATGTTCTTACTCATTGAGTTGTGTTTTTTTTTTTAAATGAAAGGGGAACTTTATTAAAAAGAGCAAAAGAAAAGTACAAGCAAAAGAACAATAAGAAAGCAAACAAAAAGAAAAAAGGAACAAGTAAAGAAGCACCCAACCCAAAGTGTAGTAATCAGAACCCTCCCTAACTATTCTGAACCTTCCCCTAAGTATCTTGAGTATTCTGAACCCAAAGTGTAGTACTTATTGAGTTGTGTAAATATGACTAAATATTACATTTCTACCTCTAATATAATTAATTAATATAATTAATTTCTCATATTTCCCTTGCATAACCAAATTCATTTTGTTGACGGCGAACTCCAGTGACGGAGGTGGACAGGCAAATTGGAAGCGACGATCTAGGTGAAATTCTGACAACCGGCAGTGACAGTTCGGATTTAAAAGTCTATGCAGTTATGTACTTCTTAAAAGTATATAAACTTATCCTTGGATTTAAATGTCAATAGAATTCATTCATAAAACAATCTATGGATTTAAATGTCCATAATTTTTTTTAGAAGTCCATGGATTAAAAAAAATCCACCACAATCCATATTCAATACATTCCTCAAAATTCTTAAAAAAACACCGTACACTAAAATTAAAAGAAAAAATTGAAAATAATAATCCCAACTATTGCCGGTCCACTGACAATAATCAAACTATTGATTATTTTTGTATAATCTCAACTATATGGACCGTCCGCCAATAGTGGTTCATGACCAGATATTACCTCCTATAATAAGTGAATTTTAAATAGAAAATAAGTTTAAAAATTAAAAATTGAGATTATTTATAGGGATTACTTACTATATCTCTCCTCATTCACTTTAGACATTACATGAATTTATTTATAGAGACCATTATTGGCAGAAGGTCCTTAAAGTTGAGATTTTTCTGAAATAATCGATAGTTGAGATTATTATAAATGGACCTTGGGATTATAACTAAAATTAAAATTTATTCTAATGGAGTTTCTAACATAAAAATTTATGCTGATTTATTTTGAAATGGACTCTAAAACCAGAAAACCAAATCTTGAAAGAAAGAAAGAAAAAGAGCAGGAAATAGAAAGGAAAATGGAATCAAGATCATAAGGAGGGGTAACGGAGGTTGGTCAGATAATTGAAAAAACGAGACGGAGGGATCAAATCTAATGGACAACAAAGAGTTCCAGTTTACGAAGTTCAACCGATCCCAGGTCTCCCTCGCTCAACTCAAATAAACATATTCGGCATTCTTCAGGCGAGTGGCGAACTAATTTTGTATGTATAATAATGCACGCCCACTAACACAGGCATTCTATCAGATTGAATGGGTAACTTCAGTGTATTTTCAGTCAGTGCGGGTGTATTCTATCTCTTAAACATGTTAGTTGGTCTTTGCCAGATATGTTCCTTAAGGTTAAAAAAAAAATCTAATTCTGGGTTTCTGTTTTTCTTTCAAGTCATTCTGATCACCACTGATTATTGAACTATCCAGCCCTATTTCTTGAATTACTTAGCTTTTAAGTAAGCTTGATTTCTTAGAGGTTGATCAGAGGTCAAAGCTCTCAAGCTTAATTTTTCCGGAACTTAATTGAAAGAAAGGGCTGAAATGCTAATATCAGCAGAAAGCTCTCAACTTTTAAGCCCTGGATTAGTTAAAAATTGTGTTCATGTTTTTCTTATTATATGTTGCATTTTTTGCTTTGTCTAATTTAGTTATCCTTTAGCAATCTTCTAGAGGAGATTATTTTATTTCTTTTCTTCAGTTGTCTTTTAAAGATGTGTGAATTTGTAGTTTACCGGATTCCCCTTTCCAGAAATAGGATTGGTTATTTTTCTCCAGATTATTTTTCAGTTTCAGGCATTACAAACTAGTATGCCAACAAATGTGAAGAGAGAGATATTCATACATATGTAGGGAAACCCATTCTAACAACAAAAGCACAAAAACGTCATACATGAAGAAGCTGCAATTGCATACAATCCAATATGTGAAAAGATTGGTTGATATGTATTGAAGAAGATGGTTATTGAAAACCTGCATGAAGAGAAGGGAAAATGCGCTTCCATGGGAACAAAACTTCGGGGAACAACGTCGAATAAAACTCGACTGCCCCAACAAAAGTCTGCATTGACTGGCAAAATACGGAAGTTTCAGTTAGTTGAATGCAAGAAACGTGAGAAAACTGAGGACATTGCCACTGGATCTGGTAGACTAAAGAAAAGGAAAAGGGCAAAGAGAAGGAAGCAAAATGCAGAGCATGATGAAGTTTCTCGTTTGCAAAGACGGACTAGGTACCTCTTAATAAAAATGAAACTGGAGCAGAACCTTATTGATGCTTATTCCACAGAAGGTTGGAAGGGCCACAGGTACTAATCAGTTATTTTCTTTAATAATGTGTAAGAGTGATGACTTATCATAAATATTCACATAGCTATCATTAAACTAGACTTCACATTTATTTAAGATGTAAATGTGCGGTGTGCCTGTGTGTTATGTGTTTAATGATAGAATTCAGAATTGGGAGCTTAAAGGTGGGATCCAATTTATTAGCTAGTTCTTTTTTCTTTTTTTAACTCGAGGGGGGGTCTGGGGGAGGGGGTTTGGGGGGAGCCTGGAGTAATCAGAGCTGAAACTCACTCCATTGAGTTTCAAACCCTTCTGTGCCTAGCGGGATTCGAACTCGAGACCTCCCACTAGGCACGGTAACCTCGCATCCAGCTAGGCTGCAGTGCTTGGTTATTTATTAGCTAGTTCAACCCTATATCTTATTAACCAACTATTTTCTCTTTATCTTCCAGCGTGGAATTCTGACACACACACTCATATTTTTACACATACCTAGTCGTACTTTTGGAGAACATCAATAATCTAGGAAGTAGGAAGAGAACGAGTTCACATAGGTAATGACAAGGTACAACTATGCAAAACACATGGTAAATCTCAACACTCTCCGCTGAGGTCCAGCCTCCAAGCTTGTAGAGATGTTACAAATATACTCAATTGTTTCTCCCCTGAAGGCCTGGTGACGATGTATCTTGATGGACCATTAAGTCTGTTAACCAACAAAAGCAGTTATGATGTCTCCAAAGTCCAAATTTGATCTTCTGACAATGAAATGACAGCCCACCTCTATATGTGTAGTTCTTTCATTGAAAACTTTATTTCTTGCATTGTCTAGAGTAACTTACTATTATCACACATCAAGCCCATAGATTTAAGTATGCAAAAGTAATGTTCTAAAAGGAGATGTAAACCAAATACACTTGCATGTTCCAAAGGCTAGTACTTGGCCTTGACACTTGACTGTGCAACACTGCTACCGCCTACCAGCCTACCACATCCTTTTTCTTACTCTCGCAAGATACTAATGTTTCACTGAGTGATAGTGAGGTAGATAAATTATCACACAAGTTTTTTATATTGACTGCATCTGAGAAACATCTTTGGCCTCTGCCCACCCCCAAATCCTTCTTGGTTATCTGCATGCTCACCCATCCTCCTTCTCTGACCTCCGCCAACCCATTCTGAGCACAACTCTTTTTTTCTAATTTTCTGAATTTATTGATAAAGACACCTTTTTAATGTTTTGTACCTCATGTTTCAGAGGCGTGCCCCATTTCCCTATGTTCATGCTTCAATGTATGTGCTTTTTTTCTTCTCCTCATACTCAGCTTTGCTCTTCACCTTCATCCCCAAGTGTCTTATGCAAGGCAGTGTGCTGGATATTTTTCTTCTATGTGGAGCTCATTCATATGCCTGAAAGTGGACTCTGAAGTTTCGGCCTAAAAACTCAAGTTATAGGCCTTATGGGCGTATTTTGTTGCTATAAGGAATGTTTTGCTTGTATGCATCTTTGGTTTTGGATGCAGTGTGTGATACAAGGTTATTATTTGCGGTTCCAATGGCTGTTCGTCGATTATAGTTTAATAAACAAGTGTCATATACTTAGAGAATCTCCTTCAATTTTTTTACCTTGGGAAAAATACTGCGTTTTGTCTTTTAAATGCAGTGCCAATTAATTTCATTTGTATTTGAGCTCAGTTTATTGTGTCAAGTGAGTTATAAGAGCCTAAGTGTAACTTTATGTAACTAGTGCAATATACTGACATGCAAAATATAACACAAATGTTTATTGTTCTTTCTTTTTTAAGCAAAATGTATCTAAGATTCTTAGTTGATAAAATAATATAGGAATTCGCTTGCAATATGATCTAAATCTACAACGTCTGTTCTTATTAAAAGTCTGCTTTTGTTTAGCTCAATACTATTTTGCACAGTATTGGATTTTTCTAGTTAACCGTTCACCAATAGCAACTTTTTTTGTCAGTCGGGAAAAAATTAAGCCTGAAAAAGAACTTGAGAGGGCAAAGTTGCAAATACTGAAGTGTAAGCTTGAGATAAGGGAAGCAGTTCGCCAACTGGATTTGCTGAGGTTACCAGGGCACATTGCTAATGAAGTCATTGCTCCTGATGGTTCTGTCCACCATGAACATGTAATTGTCCTCGCTTGAAAGTATTCATTGTGTTATGTTTGTCCATTACTAGTGCATTTAGTATGCTTAGTAACATGATTATGATTGTAAATTGCATAATCATCATCATCATCATCATCACCCCAGTGCCTCATAAATGTAAAAGTTCAAAGGGATCATCATCTAAGATGGGGTAAGTGGGGTCGGATGTACGCAGTCTTACCCCTGTACTAAAGCACCGAGAGACTGTTTCCGGATGACCCATAGTCAAATTCACGTCGAAATTGCATGCACTGACTACTGCTTCATAATAAAGAAGCGCAGACAGTTTAGTGAGCCATTTTGCTTTATTCCATCATATTCTCAAGCCAAAAAATAGTGAGTCTTTGGCTCCATTAAAAATGATGGAAAAATTGTAAATTGCATAATGTTTGTTCATAAATGCTTGCTGACTTCATAAATGTAAAAGTTCAAAGGGATCATCATCTTTCTTTTAAATGAAGAGTGCAGGTTTTTAAATTTGCAAACTTGTACTTGAGGTTTGTAGTATTGTTCAAGTACTGTAGGGAGTGATCTTGAATGCAAGAGATGCTGTTGTTTTATTAAGACATAATGAATGTGACTTGTGAGTACTGACCTTTATTCATGTTTTCAGATAATATGTGCAAAATGTAAATTGCGTGATGCTTTCCCTGATAATGATATCATACTTTGTGATGGACCATGTAACTGCGCTTTCCATCAAAAATGTCTTGATCCTCCACTATCAACAGAAAACAGTGAGTCATATTGTCACTTTCAAATGTTTTAGTAATCCTCCACCAGTCCCCAAGTTACTTCGTATATATTACTACCTCTGTCCCAAGTAAGAGTCCCATTTGACTAGTGAACAACTTTTCATCTTTCACCTTTTACTTTTTGTGGACCCATCTTTTTCTTTCTTACTTTTTGGAGGTTAGAATTGTAAAACACCCACTTTATTCTTTTTTTCCCTTAAAACCCGCACCAAACCTATATGTATCTTACATTATGGGACAGAGGCAGTCAGGCAGTACTAATTTTAAATTACTTTTTAGTTTAAATAAATTTAGCATATGTAATGAGTTTTGGAATGTCTTGGTATGTTATTTGAAAAGTTATCCTCGTTTGGTCAAAGTGGATTCTCTTTTTAGGACATAACAAATGTTTGAAAGTTGAAACATGACTTAACAGATATTTATGGCTTAAATATTATTTATCAACATTAAACCTAATAGACACATTAAATTTGTAGTTCCTCCAGAAGATGAGGGATGGTTTTGCAATTTGTGCAAGATCAGGATGGAAATTATTGAAGCTACCAATGCTCATCTTGGCACCCATTTTGCTATGGACAGTAATTGGGAGGTATAGTAGTTTTCATAATTCACCTTTTTTCTCTTTCCCGATGACAGTTAAGTACTTCATTACATTTTTTTTGTAAACTTCCACTTGCTTAATATGCGCCTCCGCCCTCTTGGAAGAGTAGGATATCTTCAAGGAAGAAGCTGCTTTGCCCAAGGATGATGAGAATTCATCCCTTTACCCTGAACATGAATGGCCATCTGATGACTCAGAAGATGATGACTATGACCCTGAAAAGATTGAGAATAGCAGCAGCAAGAGTACTAATAACCACGAATCTGGTGTTTCGGATGATGGAGGGAGTTCAAGCAGTTTGGGCTCACTTGAGGACGAGCCATTATGTGGAAGGCAACAGAAAAGAATCAGATTTAGAAACCAATCTGCTGAAGTCATGGGTAGGCTAGATTCCAATGAGATGACTGATTGTGAGGTCATAAACATCCCTAGACAGAGAACAACTGTTGATTATATAAAGCTAAATGATGTAAGTGTCTTGCTCTCTTCATCATCATCATCATCATCATCATCATCATCATCATCATCATCATTTTCATTTACCCCAGCGCCGCAAAGGCTCCCACCTACGGTGGGGTAAGGGGGGGGGGGTCGGATGTATGCAGTCTTACCCTTGTACTAAAGCACGACTGTTTCCGGATGACCCATAGTGAAGATTGCGTCCAAAATTGCATGGACTGACTTCTGCTTCATAACAAAGAAGCGCAGGCAGTTTAGTGAGCCATTTTGCTTTATTCCATCATATTCTCAAGCCAAAAAAGAATGAATCTTTGGCTCGATTGCAAATGATGGAAACGTCTTGCACTCTTGCTTCGGAAAAATATATACCTGTTGATTAGATAAATAAATGATGTAAGTGTCTAACACAGTTTTCCAAGTAACTTTCAAATTGATTTTTGTAAATAGCCTAATGAATATTAACTTTTTTTTAATCTTTTCGTCTTCTATTTTATCTCTTCTTTTCTTTTTCATCTTTCTTATCTTCGTTATTTTCTTATCTTTTTCATCCTTTGTATCCTATTTTTATCATTATTTTTATTTTTGTCATATCTTAACTTTTTATCCTTTTTAGCTCCAATTTTATATATTGATTCATGGTAGCCGACCCCAAATTCTTTTGAGACTAAGGCTTGGATGTTGTGGTTGTTGTTGTAGCCTTATGAATATTAGCTATCACCCTGTGCCACCTCCAGCGAGGCGAGAAATCTCCAAAAGATAAAAATAATGTTCCGGGTGATTTTTCATTTTTATATTATTTCACCTTTTAATGGTGCTGCAATGTGAACTTATCAATGTGGTCCGCAGGAATTATTTGGTAAGAATCCTCCTGTCAATGAACAAAACAGTGAAGATGAAGATTGGGGCCCGAAAAGAAAGCATAAGAAAAGGGAGTTTGAATCCGACGCAGCAAACACTCTTATGACTCTCTGTGAAAATGAGAATGAAAGTAGATCTCCCAAAGTAACAAAACAATTAAGCAAAACAACTGAACGATCTATATTCAGAATTCCTCTTAATGCAGTTGAGGTATTATATGTTGGATTTACCATATGTTTTGTAACTTAAACAATTTGGGAGTAAATGTTTCTATGCTCTTGTTTCTTTTCTCTGTAGAAGCTTCGCCTTGTGTTTGCTGAAAATGAACTTCCATCTAGAGCACAAAAGCAAAACCTTTCAAAGCAGTTAGGTCTTGACTCTGAAAAGGTAAGAGTCACTATGGTTGGGAGATTTAAGGACATGAGAACCAAATTCATTGTCGGTTTTGGCTGAAAATCTTTAAATAAAACAGTGTCGGTTTTTTAAAGATTGATTAAATTTGTCAACTATAAAACTTTAAATATTTACTTTAAATAAGTCAACTATAAAACTATTTGATGAGACTATATGACTCTGAGTCCACTTCAATGATTAAATTTGTAACGATTGATTATTTTTTATCTGTAGAATTTATCAAGTAAAATCTTTGAATTGGACTGGTCAGAGTCAAATATTTTCTTTTCTAACTGAGATAGAAATATTTGTTTGGTACTTCGCTGGTAGGGGTGAGAAACCCTAATCACCTGTGCTTAATGACATATATTATCTATTCTAGGTGAACAAGTGGTTTAAGAATGCTCGTTATTTTGCATTGAAAGGTAGGAAGGTGAGCAGCAGGTGAACTATGACATTATTAGTCATTTCTCGATGTTGGACTGTAGTTCTGATTTCCTGCCCTCTTCATATGCATCTTGTAATATAAACAATCTTTTGAAGTTTAATTAGAGCATCTACTTGTCCATTTCTAAAGAAACTGCAGATGCATTGAAGTTTTACTTCAAACCTTTAAATTTTATAATAATATGTGAATGCTAGAAGTCCGAGAAAGCAAATCCAAGTAAAGTTGTTAGTCCTATAGCGTCAGAGGAATGTCCTGCAAATACAGGGAAAGGCAAAACTACAAAGAAATTTGCCTCACAAGGTGTGAATGCTGAAATTACAGTTCAAGTGCCAAAGAATCTGAAAAGAACCCATAGGAGAAATAGTGCAAACAAGCTCATTTGCAAATCAAAGAGAGGGCAGCTAAGAAAAGCATTACAGTATCAAGAAGGAAACTGCAAGGTACCATTACACCTGGGCCCGTATATACAATTTTTAGCATATAATGTCTTTAGTAGGTCTCTCATATTGTCTTATTACTGAAAATTCATGCTATCTTCATTTAATAGCACAATAGTTTGCAAAACCAGCTTTTAGACCAAACAGGCGTGGCTGCTATGGGAAACGTTAATGCACTTATGAAATCATTTTGAATTCAGAATTAGTGGTTTCAAGCTCAAGTAAACTTATACTTGGAATCTGCTTATATGAGGTGACCTTGAAGCTGGAAACCTGGAACTGTTGATAGTTTACAGCCTGACCACATTTTCTTATTGTAGCAAGTTCAAAGCATCACATTGTGTGCCTTTACATTCTCCACCTGCATATAGCTACTAGCTATTGTAAAACATCAAGGTGTATCTTTCTATATTATAAACTGCGAATCTGCAGGCACTACCTTAAGGTGCCCACTGGGTAAACCTTGGCCTCATAGCTCTAATTGGCAAAGAACCACAAGAGCTTATTTGATTCAACAATTTCACAGGGAAGGGGGAACAGGAGGATTGATTTTTATTCATTTATTTCGTGTCATCAGTTTTAAAATAGATCTTCACTTTATTTCAACCAGCTTATTCCCCCGGACCTGTTATCCTCATACCAAACAAGCCCTTAGAGTGATATAAAGTATAAACTACCCTAAGATGAACATTGGCTCAACCAAAAATATCAATAGGTAGTCTCTGCTGGAACCAAATACGAGACATTGCATTCACCTGGTTCACTGCCCCACCCAACCAAATTGGTTACCCTTGTGTGTGATCAATTAATATCTTTCTGTCATTCTCTGTGTGCAACCAGGCAACGGTATATTATGGTGAAGATCCCCTTAAACTTCCGAGAGAGCTCGTGAAGGCCAAAAGAGGACTATGTTGCCAGAGAAAAGATGGAGAGCTGGAAGCTGAAGCTGAAATGGAAAGGCTCTATAAAATCAAGGAGAAGGTGGAAAGGCTGCAACAGCTAGTTCTATCTGGAATTCATAGTGTTAACATAACAGAATCAAGTCCTCCTTCATTTATGTATGTACCTGTTGCAGAGCTAAAAGTGAAAACATAAAAAACTCTATAATATTCAAGGGATAATTCCCTTTTGATATAAAAAAAGTTTAGATCTCCCCATTTGGTATAGATTCCCATATAATTTTATTATATACATCACTCGCAAATCTATTTTCCCAAGGACAATATTCAAAATATTGACAATTTTATAAATTATATTTTGATTATATGTTGTACATGTCTAATTAAAACACGTACATATATTTAATGAATTACACGTTCTAAAAAGAAATGTCATTTACAAGGAGATAAACAATACTCATTCTCAGCATATTTTTCTTTAGTGAATCGATTAATCGGATGGGCCGTAAATTTGACAAGCTTACTCCGCGGCTCAACAAAAGAATCTGCGTTTAATAGTAGGGAGTATTGATTTAGAGCCCATTTGTTGACCTTGTTTTTTGGTTTATTAGTCATTTTTTCACCAATCACATAAATTTTGATTTCGCGTGTTGAATTATCTAGAAGATATTTTAGCTATGTTTCTATATATTTTTTTATTTTATTAATAAAAATATATTTTAATTTTTTTTTAAATAAATTAGTTACTTTTTTTTTAAAGAAAAACACTTAATTAATATTAATAGTGGAAATGACAAGAGACATATCAATCCAGTTGTTTAGAGCTACCTTGGAATGAGTCATAGACTCACAGAATTAACTAGCCCCTGAGAACCTGTCACGTTTGCTAACCCCGCAATTTGGTAGGCTAATCTATCAGCATCGCCGTTCATGCTACTAAAATAAACGGACAAAAAACTAGAGTTATTAAAAAGGAAATAACAAATAGAATCATAGTTTCTGGTTTTCCCAGTCATCAGTAAGGGAGAAGAGGTTTGATCATCCACCTCCAAATAAACCAGTTTGATTTCACCAGATATCGGAAAGGATGAAGAGGTTTGTCCAGCCACCTCCAAAGGAGCCCATCCGATTTCACCAGCAATTGGGAAGGGAGAAGAGGTTTATCCATCCACCTCCAAAGGAATTAAACCGTGCACACAATCTAATGGAGTTCCAGGTGATGCTGGTTCATTAGCACCGCCAATGCGTCGTTTTTTGGACCAGATTCTTCATGCTAACTTTAACCTCCATGCTAACTTTAACCTCCACCAGATTCTTCAAGTCCACTACTCTTCGCTTTCTAGACTCCCCTTCATCTAGAGACCTATCATGGTTGTGTTCTGTCTTCCTCTCCCATTTCACCTTTCCCTTTGGAGATAAGTCCCTGAACCAGGGTGTTCCCTACCCCTACCCCAAAGAGTCTTCTGATTCTTTGGACTAAAACCGGGTTTAAAAAAAATTCCCGAACCAGATAACATCTCACATCTGAAGTCTTCTCTTGAATCCCTATCAGTTGCCCCTGACTTTCAGTGTCCTCCCCGGCACTCTGTTACTTAAGTTAGGATTTCATAAATTTCAATGATAATAAACAGACTAGAACAAAGCTCTTACTTGGAAAGTTGGAATGGGTACCCAACGTGTAAAAATGTATGGAGTCTATGGACTTGTTTCATTTTACCTAATCTCTCATATATTTAGTCTTATAAGCAGTGGCTATTCATGAATTTGCTCGAGTAGTTCAGTAGTCAATATATATACAAAATTTCTGATAAATTTTTACATGATTTTTTTTATGCATAAGGTCAAACTTTTCTAAAATTTGAGATGAGACGTGACCTTTTTATAATTCTATCCACTTTAAACTGCATCGGTTGAATTAGCGAAAAGTAGCAAATCAACCCTCGAACTAACTTAAAAAGTGCAAATCGCCCCTTGTATAGGAGGGGTGGTTCCTGGTGGAATTTTATGATGAATTTTCTGAGAATTTTTTTCATTGAGTCTAGTTTGCCCATACCAAATTTCAGCTAAAAATTCAACCAGGAAGGCAGTCAAATGATTTTCAGAAATATACTGCGTTGTTTAAGTGCGCTGTTATCTTCAAAAATTCATTTGACTGTCTTCCCGATTGAATTTTTAGCTGAAATTTGGTTTGAGTAAAATGGACTTAATGAAGAAGATGCTAAAAAAAATCTTCAAAAAATTCCACCAGAAACCGCCCAAAATGGTAACGGCCGGACAGAGCCCCCTATATAAGGGCTGATTTGCACTTTTTTATGTTAGTTCGAGTGCTGATTTACTACTTTTCCCGTTAAATTATGCATGTTCTCCATCTTTTATAAACGTTTATAATTATATTTGGTTCGCTTTTTTTATTTACCCATATAAGGGTAAAACAAATTAATTATGCACAAATAGAGTCAGAGTCCAGCTTCCCATGAGATTTAGTAGGAATAAAAAAAGATGTTGTCTGACTTAAATCCGCTTAATGAAATCTCAAGTTCATTTGTTTATTAATAATTTAAATCAAAATACTAAAAACAAACAGTACAACAGACACAACCACACAACCCTAGGGCCGATGACTGCCTTCATTGCCGTCGTCCGCATCATCCACCGCCGTTTCCTGTGGCTCTACCACCTGTTGCCGTCACCCATGTCATTGCGGCAACGACTCTTCCACCACTGGCCTCTTCCACCAACATTGTCACCTCTGTCAGACGCCGCCACCAGACGCTGCCGCCACCAGACGCTGCCACCATGTGTCGCCGCTGCCAAACACCACCGCCATCAGTTGTCGTTGCCACCTTGTTTGGCACCTACACCGCCGGATCTGTGTCACTACCACTTTTGCCTCTTCTGGCACCACCCATCATAAATCCGTAAATGTAATTTGACAATTTGAATGTCATTTATATAATGCAAAGAGTATGAGTTTTATCGTCTTAACCATGAATTAGTGTCATACAAATGACACCGTGCGTAAATAACATTTTCTTGGATGAAAAACATGACATTATTAGTATTGTATTGCAATCTTAATTTCATAAAAATGGCATTAGGTGCCCAAATAATATTTGTATATGGAAAAATATGCCATTATTAATATTGTAATTGCCATCTTGATTTCATAAAAATGGTACATAAAACAATTATTTTACACTAAGAACATGTCATTATTAGTATTGTTATTGCCATCTTGATTTCATAAACATGGCATTATGTGCCAATATAATATCTTTACATCACAAAACATGACATTATTGACATTGTATTTCAAAGGAGTAATCTTTTAATCTTAATACCATAAATTAGTTTAAGATACTAATTATGTCAATTTTAAATTGAAATAAAAAATGAATCTAAAAAGTTACAAGAGAAAATTGATTGAAATCAATATCGAAAATTATAATCTATGTTATAAAAGATAAAATTTCAAAAAACAAGATTCTATATACACCTCTTTTACACTTTTAAAATGAATCATCAACCTTATAAAATGTTTTCCTATAGTTTAATAGCAACAAATAAAAAGCAAAAAAAAAACATAATTGGTCCCGATCTAAAAAAATAAAGGCACGACCAAAATCTTATTTTCCGGTCACGGTCCCGATTGAAAACCGGATAGTTCCATTCCAGTTCCGGTCCCGAACCGAAACCTTATTTCCTAGTCTCAGTCCCAATTCAGAACGGGCATTAAGGATATTCTCTTAAATAAATCCAAATACCACCTCACTTACACGAGTAAAACATACAACTTTCCACTAACAAGCCCATAATGATCGATAGAGCTTAGATATATATGAATTATTATGATTAATAACTAAAATATATCATGATACTACATAGGGGTGACTCGGTCCTAGTCCCGGTTTCAATCGGCGACCGAGCAGTCCTGATCCCGATCCCTTACCGACCAGTCCCGATCATAGGTATGAGAAGCCCAAGTCCAACCCAGTTAAATCCAAGTCACTGCCAATTCCGGGCGGCCCGAACCCAGTACCGTTCAATTCTTTTTTGGTTCCCCCCATTTCCATGCCAAAAAATAGCCGATCCAAGACCAAAATTGGGACCAGAACCGCCCGGTTGGTTCCCAAATGGGTAAACCGAGACCGGGTAACATGCTTGGTTGGACTACGAGTAGTCCCAAGCCCGAACTGGATTCTCCGAACCCGATCTGATCCCAAATAATGCTAGACCCGGTTCTGAAATGGGTCGGGCCAGATTAATCCCTAATACTACATCACTACCAATTCTACACTTCTACGTAATTCCAGTTATGAAAGGTAATTCCCTGGTGTTCTTAAAAGCCGCGTAAAATAGTTTGATATAGAAAAAATTAAGGTGTGCAATCCATGACCAAACAATTTTTTTTGGAAGAACATGACCAAACAATTTGTTTGACACATTTAGTTTAGACCCAAACAATTGGATAATACATCTAAATGCTTGGATAATACATCTAAATGCTGGTTATGGGTGGACCCGAGTCGGTGCAATCCCAGGTCTAGGTTGATTCCGAGTAGACCTGCACAAAATAAGGTCGGTCCGCCTAGCCCGCACAAATGGGCAGGCTTGGGCATATATATTTACCCACCAGGCCGGAGCCAGGCCGCAATAACATATGGGCGGGCTTGGGTTAGGGTGTAGGCCCATTCAGGCCGATATGCCCGGCCCGCTACATTTTATATTTTTATATATATACTAATTTATTTATTTATTTACATGTACATATGTATATTTATATTTACTAATTTATCTTAATACATATTTATAGTTTTGTTGGGATATATTATCCCGGCCTATTACTGTTCAGGGGCCCAAGACATTATCCAGTACGGAGCCCGAGCAGCTAGGCCCATTTCGGCCCATTAGGCCCGATATTGGCCCGTTTGGCCCATTAGGGTGGAGAGCACCCTTTCCCTTTGTCTATAAATAGGGAGCTTAGCCTCCATATTATGGATCCTTTTCTTTTCTTCTTCCTTTAGCTCTCTAGATTAGATAATACTCCATTAATTGGAGCTCAAATTGTATTATGTAATGGTGAGGAGAGCCTAATGAGAATGAGAGGGCTTGGACATTAGCCTAAAAATTCCCGTGGTTTTCTCCCTTTCGGGTTTCCACGTAAAAACTGAGTGTTCATACATATATTTACTATATCGTGTTGGATTAAACTCAACACTGGCGCCGTCTGTGGGAATCTGTCCAAAAAGATTCGTGTGTTCTACTGTTCTTGAGTTCTACAAAAAATTCATACGAGTGGACTGATTCCAACAAAGAAAAAGCATTCTGGAAAGCAAAATAGGAGGAAGAAGATTCTGGGAACGAGGAAGAAAATTTCTGAGAAAATGATTCTGGAAAATTGCAGATCGGGGATGGAACTGCCGGAACCGCCGTCATCATTCCCGCCGCCATGAAACCTTGGGCGAGTGTACGCGCGCTGGATGGAGCTCGCGGCAGCGCTCCATTTGTTGATCCCGGCTTCTGGTGAAACGCCGCCTGCAACGGAGTCGCTCGTGGCCAGCATCTGGTTTCACCGACCACCGCCTGAGTCGTCACACCACCTGGTCAGCCGCGGCTCGAACCTCCACCGGACATCCTGTTCTGCCGACGCGAGGACCCGCCAACTGGGAGTTCTTTGATCTCTGCCATTAATGGGGATTTGGAGCTCGGGGAGGGTACTCTCAAAGCTCGAGTAGCAGACCTCCCACCGAACCAGACCATGTGGTCATCCTTGCTCTGCTGCAAGCGTCTGTACCGCCGTCATTTGTCCTTGGGTTGGGAGCCGGAGTTTCAGCCAGCTTTCCTAAGGTGCGGGGTGTTGCAGAATCGCTCAAGAGCCTTGGTCCTCATAAGGCCACGTGAGTAGGATGAATGGTGGCGGATGGATAAGTTTGGGAGCATCTTGACTAAGTCAACTAATTCCAGAAATTCCAACTGGCCGAACATCTATTCTTAGAGCTAAGTGCTCTTACTCCTGCTCTTTAATTAAAATGCTCCATAATACGATCATAGATGCTTTTGTTGACCATCACCATTATTTAACAGGGGTTAAATACCCCGAAATTAAATAATGTCGAGCAAAGCTCAGATGAGTAAAGCTCTAGTGATAATTAATTCCACCGTCATTTAAATTTAATGACTGGTTGTTGGTGGGCCCGATTAGCCCACTCCCGATCGGCTTTAATTAGCGAACGGGGCATATCTGAATGACTTATGGTAGGATAATACTATTATTACTACCCGTGCATCACTATTATTTATTAGGGATAAAAATGTCCCGAAATTAAATGATGCAGAGCGAAGCTCTAGTAATAATTAGTTCAGCCAACTTTTTTATTAAAAATTTAATTGTTGGGGGGTTCGATTAGCCCACTCTTGATCGGCTTTGATTAGCGATCTGAGCGTCTCCAGAGGGTAGTGTCCCAATGACGCGTTTTAATTTGGGGGTTACGCAATAGTCCGCACGGCACCGAGTGCTCGAGAGACGATAGTACCCTAGTACCACCTGCGCCACTAGGCGAAGTGACTGTGCCAAACGCGGCCTGTGGGGCCCGAGGGCACCGAAGCGCTCAAACTCGTTGTTTTTGAGGGCAATGCGACCAACTTGGGTCTGAGTTTTCAACTCACAGACCAGTGATTATCCCTATGTGACGTTCGGCGGGCTGCTAATTGGCCCCGCCGCGAGCTCCTACGTCCATTAACCCCGCACGATGAGCCGGGCCGAGGGTCACGATGACCCATAGGCCGGTAATCGTGGGTGTTAGAGAGAAGGCCATGCAGATGGTTATGTGTGCATATTTATTGTCGGGCCGTGCGGCCCGTTATCATGCTTATTGCGCAGCTGAAGCCACTCGACGCGCTTGAGCGAAATGATTAGAAGACGCTCGGCCCGAGTCTTGAAGACGTGCAGGGCCGGCTAAAGAGGAGACCATCACGGCTGAGGACCGTGAGACGAGCATCTCCACCTAGAGGCCGAGGGCCTAGAGGAGACCACCACGGTTGAGAACCGTGGGACGAGCATCTTCACCCCAGAGACCGATGGCCTAGGAGAGAACACCTAGAGGCCGAGGGTCTAGAGTGGACTACCACGGCGGAGGACCGTGAGACGATCATCCATCATTCTGAGGCCGAGGGCCTAGAGGAGACCATCACGGCCGAGGGCCGTGAGACCATCCTGATTTTCAGGTCGGCCTCTCATTGCCGACATCATCATACCACGACCGGCCTCTCGGCTCGGCGTGCCTATCTTTTGAAGACCGGCCTCGTCCCCACATTGCGCGGGTGAGGACCGTTGCTGGATTTCAGGTCGGCCTGTCATTGCCGATGTCATTATATATCACGACCGGCCTCTCGGCCCGGCGTGATTATGATATTTGAAGACCGGCCTCGTCCCCGCGCTGCGCGGATGAGGACCGTTGCTTGATTTTAGGTCGGCCTCTCATTGCCGACATCATTATATCACGACCGGCCTCTCGGCACGGCGTGTTTATCTTTTGAAGACCGGCCTCGTCCCCGCGCTGCGCGGATGAGGACCGTTGCTTGATTTTAGGTCGGCCTCTCATTGCCGACATCATTATATCACGACCGGCCTCTCGGCACGACGTGATTATCTTATTTGAAGACCGGCCTCGTCCCCCGCGATGCGCGGATGAGGACCGTTGCTTGATTTCAGATCGGTCTCCCGTCGCCGACATCATCATACCACGACCGGCCTCTCGGCACGGCGTGTTTATCTTTTGAAGACCGGACTCATCCCCGCTCCTAGCGGATGAGGGCCGTTGCTTGGTTCTTGCAGGTCGGCCCCTCATTGCCGACACTGTCACATCATGTTCGGCCGCTCATTGCCGACACCATTATACCACGACCGGCCTCTCGGCTCGGCGTGCTTATCTTTTGAAGACCGGCCTCGTCCCCGCCACCTCGCGGACGAGGACCGTTGTTTGATTCTTTCAGGTCGGCCTCTCACTGCCGACACTATCATGTTATGTTCGCCTCTCGGCACGACATATTTATCTTTTGAAGACCGGTTTCATCCCCGCGCTGCGTTGGATGAGGGCCGTTGCTCGGATATATCGGCCTGCCGGACACTATTGCCATCTCCTTATCAGGACCGACCGCTCAGCGACATTATGATCATTGTATATCGGCTCCCAATGCCGACCTTCTTGAGTTAGCGATCGGGCTCACCCCTCCCTTTAGGAGGGTGACCATCGCCTTCGCATGACATTATGTGTGACATCACTTGTGGTTATTCTTGGAACCGACGAACGTATTTTCCTCCCTCAAAAAAAAAAAAAAAGGAAGAAAAAAAAATAGAAGAAAAGAAAAGAAAAAAAAAAAAAAAAAAGATGGGGAGAAGGGGAGACGAGATCCTATGAGAGAGGGAGTCTTGACGAGGTATGCCTGATCTTCCTTCGCCGCGTATGACGAACGTCTCCCGACGCGGAGGCTAGTAGGACGTGGGGGGGGCTAGACGTACCAAAGGGAACCTCGGCAAGATAAACCAGTTCCTCCCATGACCCGTGGTTCGATGAACACCTTCTGCTACAGCAGAAGGCTAGTAGGGCCACGAGCATGGGACGACGAAGCAGGGAATCCCGACGTGGATAAACCAGTGACCTCCTTGCGATCGTTGGATGACCGAACGTCTTCTTCGAAGCAAGAAGATTAGTAGGACCACGACAGGGACGAACGAAGAATAGGGAATCCCGACGTGGATAAACCTGTTCCTCCTTGCGATCGTGGGATGACCAAACGTCTTCTTCGAAGTAAGAAGATTAGTAGGACCACGACAAGGACGAACGAAGAATAGGGAATCCCGACGTGGATAAACCTGTTTCTTCTCATAGTTGGTATGACGAACGTCTCCTGCGAAACCAGGAGACCAGTACTCACGAGACTTGGGAAGAACGAAGAACCAGTTCTTTACCGGAGTCTGTTGCGTGCCGAGTGTACACCGCTTAGCGGTCCATACATAGGACCACGGATACGGTAGACGAACGAAGACCAGCTCCATGGATCCGACATGAAGAACCAGTTCTTTACCGGAGTCTGTTGCGTGCCGAGTGTAAACCGCTTAGCGGTCAATACATAGGACCACGGATACGGTAGACGAACGAAGACCAGCTCCATGGATTCGACATGAAGAACCAGTTCTTTATCGGAGTCTGTTGCGTGCCGAGTGTACACCGCATAGCGGTCCGTACATAGGACCACGGATACGGTAGACGAACGACGATCAGCTCCCCAGATCAGGTAGGAGGGACATCGCCCAGATTTATTTCAGGCTCACCATTCTTTCCCGGATGAAGTCCTGGCAGACGATCGGTTCCTCACAGCCAATCAGGAGAGAGACTTGACACATCACTAGCACGGCCGAGGGCCGCGAGAGGCCGAGGGCCATGAGATGATCATCACTATTTTTATGCATCACGATCGGCCCCTCAGCGCCATCGTGTCCTGATTCACGGTTCGGATCGCCCATTCCCTCCAGGATGGCGACGACCGTCTTATGCAGTACGATCGGCCCCTCAGCGCCATCGTACCCAGCTCACGTTCGGATCGTCCATCCCTTCCAGGGTGGCGACGAGCGTCTTATGCATCACGATCGGCCCCTCAGCGCCATCGTGTCCAGATTCACGGTTCGGATCGCCCATTCCCTCCAGGATGGCGACGACCGTCTTATGCAGTACGATCGGCCCCTCAGCGCCATCGTACCCAGCTCACGTTCGGATCGTCCATCCCTTCCAGGGTGGCGACGAGCGTTTTATGCATCACGATCGGCCCCTCAGCGCCATCGTGTCCTGATTCACGGTTCGGATCGCCCATTTCCCTCCAGGATGGCGACGACCGTCTTATGCAGTACGATCGGCCCCCTCAGCGCCATCGTACCCAGCTCACGTTCGGCTCGTCCATCCCTTCCAGGGTGGCGACGAACGTCTTATGCATCACGATCGGCCCCTCAGCGCCATCGTGTCCGGATTCACGGTTCAGATCACCCATTCCCTCCAGGATGGCGACGAACGTCTTATGCATCACGATCGGCCACTCAGCGCCATCGTGTCCAGTTCACGGTTCGGCTCGCCCATTCCCTCCAGGATGGCGACGACCGTCTTGTGCAGTATGATCGGCCCCTCAGCGCCATCATACCCAGCTCACGTTCAGCTCGTCCATCCCTTCCAGGGTGGCGACGAACGCCTTATGCATCACGATCGGCCACTCAGCGCCATCGTGTCCAGTTCACGGTTCGGCTCGCCCATTCCCTCCAGGATGGCGACGACCGTCTTGTGCAGTATGATCGTGTCCAGTTCACGGTTCGGCTCGCCCATTCCCTCCAGGATGGCGACGACCGTCTTGTGCAGTATGATCGTGTCCAGTTCACGGTTCGGCTCGCCCATTCCCTCCAGGATGGCGACGACCGTCTTGTGCAGTATGATCGGCCCCTCAGCGCCATCATACCCAGCTCACGTTCAGCTCGTCCATCCCTTCCAGGGTGGCGACGAACGCCTTATGCATCACGATCGGCCCCTCAGCGCCATCGTACCTGGCTTCACGGTTCGGCTCGTCCATCCCTTCCAGGGTGGCGACGAACGTCTTATGCATCACGATCGGCCCCTCAGCGCCATCGTGTCCGGATTCACGGTTCGGATCACCCATCCCTTCCAGGGTGGCGACGAACGCCTTATGCATCACGATCGGCCACTCAGCGCCATCGTGTCCAGTTCACGGTTCGGCTCGCCCATTCCCTCCAGGATGGCGACGACCGTCTTGTGCAGTATGATCGGCCCCTCAGCGCCATCATACCCAGCTCACGTTCAGCTCGTCCATCCCTTCCAGGGTGGCGACGAACGCCTTATGCATCACGATCGGCCCCTCAGCGCCATCGTACCTGGCTTCACGGTTCGGCTCGCACATTCCCTTCAGGATGGCGACGACCGTCTTATGCAGCACGATCGGCCCCTCAGCGCCATCGTGTCTCTTTCACGTCCGGATCGCGCATCCCTTCCAGGATGGCGACGAACGTCTTATGCAGTGCGATCGGCCCCTCAGCGCCATCGTACCTGGCTTCACGGTTCGGCTCGCACATTCCCTTCAGGATGGCGACGACCGTCTTATGCAGCACGATCGGCCCCTCAGCGCCATCGTGTCTCTTTCACGTCCGGATCGCGCATCCCTTCCAGGATGGCGACGAACGTCTTATGCAGTGCGATCGGCCCCTCAGCGCCATCGTACCTGGCTTCACGGTTCGGCTCGCACATTCCCTTCAGGATGGCGACGGCCGTCTTATGCAGCACGATCGGCCCCTCAGCGCCATCGTGTCTCTTTCACGTTCGGATCACGCATCCCCTCCAGGATGGCGATCGACCGTCTTATGCAGCATGATTGGCCCCTCGGTGGCATCATGTCTAGTCCACCTTCGGCTCCGCCCATGCCATCTCGGATGGGGGACCCGTCTTATGCAGCACGTCTGCTTCTCGGCGCTGACATGCCCGTGTTATCGATGAGAGCTACTGCTTCTATCACATCTTGCATTCCCTCTCTCGTACATTACATACATACATTACATGCATACATACATTCATGCATCATACCTCATACATTCATACATACACACGTGCATCATGTTTTGATAGTACCGCGACGTCGGGTTATAGATGATGGACCTCTAAGCTTCTCCGATTGGAAAGCTCGAGTCAGAGTCCTTTACTCCCGCCTGATGCATTCAGGGGGAGTGTGCCCGTGGAGGAGCACCCTTCGCCCGACCCTGTCGGGAAGGGGGGTGCCTCACTGGTAGATTACGTTCAGGAGTGCAGACACTCACTCATATATGATGATTATGTGAAGACACAGTTTCCAGCAAGACAGAGGAAGAGCGCAGGCAGAGTATATTTTCTCGAGCAGATTCGCGAGCTCACTACTCAAGAAACTGGGGGACTTGTGTTGGGATATATTATCCCGGCCTATTACTGTTCAGGGGCCCAAGACATTATCCAGTACGGAGCCCGAGCAGCTAGGCCCATTTCGGCCCATTAGGCCCGATATTGGCCCGTTTGGCCCATTAGGGTGGAGAGCACCCTTTCCCTTTGTCTATAAATAGGGAGCTTAGCCTCCATATTATGGATCCTTTTCTTTTCTTCTTCCTTTAGCTCTCTAGATTAGATAATACTCCATTAATTGGAGCTCAAATTGTATTATGTAATGGTGAGGAGAGCCTAATGAGAATGAGAGGGCTTGGACATTAGCCTAAAAAGTCCCGTGGTTTTCTCCCTTTCGGGTTTCCACGTAAAAACTGAGTGTTCATACATATATTTACTATATCGTGTTGGATTAAACTCAACAAGTTTATTATGTTTAAATTTAAGTTTTTAGTTCTTAACAACTAGCTCAACCAATATAATATCTATTTTTGTACTTAAAAATAATACTTTGTGCTTGCATTTTAAAATTTAAATATAGTTTCTCATTATTATTTTGTGTAAGTTTTTTTTGTGTATGAGGTGAAAATCCTATAAACATTATAAGCATATAAGCAATTTTTTAAATGTTGTAATATTATTTATAAAGTATTAAAAAAATTATACTTATAATTTTTAAAAATTTAAAGTTTTCTCAGGCCGGGCGGCCCGGTGGACTACCCGGCCCACTCTTACGGGCGGGTATGGACATGGGGTTAGGCCCGTTTTTGCGGGCCGGGCCCGCCCACACATGATGGGAAGGAAATTTATTAAAAACCCGGCCCAGACCCATTTTGTGCAGGTCTAATTCCGAGTACTCGAGCAGTCCAGTCCCAGTCTCGGACCCGTTACATTTTTTACCCGGTTTCATGCAAAAAAGGGAGGGGGGAATTTGGCTGGTCCGGGTCCGAAACCGCTCGATTTGGTCCCAAATATTGGAATGCAGGACCGGGTACCGCTTTTACCCGATCAGGTACCTGTTCTTCACTAAGACCGGGAAAATGGACCCAATCCTCTCCCAAACAATACCGGACCAGGTTCCAAACCAATCCGGGATAGCCGACCAAGTCCATCACTCCATCCCACAATAGCATATTTACATGGCACAGTAACATGTTAGGAATCTCTCTTACCCGTGAATATGGGATGTCGTTAGGATTCTTTTGGATAAACCCCTCGACTTTTATGGATAACCAAATATTAATGTATAATGACTTGCAAGTACTACGTAAAGAAGATCGACTAGCAACCAGAATCACATAAGACGGCCCACATATTGAGCTCGGGGATATTTGCTTTTTAAGTATGGCCATTGAACAAATAATTGATCTGCCATACATAGTTTGTAAAGTAGCAAACCACTCAAAGATAACCTTCTCACTCTTGCGATGCTTTCCACATAAAATACGGATGACCACCTGATTCCAAGCACCTATACATAACAGAACCAAAAATAAGAACTAAGAAATAACCTAGTTAAGTTTTAAATATTAGAGGCGTTCATCAGTTTGGTTTTGCCAGTTTGGGCTTGGTCAGTTCAGCTTCTATTTTGATTGATATGCAAAACCAAGTGGCTTAAGTCGGTTTAGATTCTTAATCATTTATTACTAGTTTATTACTCCCATGATCACTTGCTTTGTGCCTGAACGGCTGAACCAAGTGGCATACATATTCATGTGATCTTTATTTGAGATCATAATTACTGTTGTTGATGGTTCATTATGTGTACATCTTTGCCAATCATAATTAATTCAATGCTTGACAATCTTAAAGCCAAATTATTTGACCTCTAACCACTCCATTGCTTAACATCCCCTTATATTTAATAAAATGATTTCACATCATACCTAAGCCCCTAACAAATTGCACCTGTTGATGCAATTTTCTAAGAAAGGCAAACATACCTTAAAGAAAAATGCAATTACACAAAGTGGGATACATGTTCCAGGTCCATTACAGAGAATCTGCATTAGAAAAGAAATTCAGCACGTGTTCTTCTATGTAATAATTTGTCTTATAACTCAGAAATCAACAGAAGCATCATATGCAGATCTATTATACCACTTCAGGTCTGATTTTGATCAATAACCACAATCCATGAGCTACAGCGATTAATGTTGTACCAACAGATGTAATGTATGACTGGCCAACCTCTCGGCTTCTATATATTTTCATGAACTGCACTGTTCCAGCCACCTCAGTCCCTTCCTACAACAATAGTTTAAAAAAAATCAATTATTTGAACAAGACTGAATTCTTTTGGGATGCTCTTCTATTTCATAAATTTAAAGTAACAAAAAAACTTACTCAAGGTGCACTTGGTTCACGAAATGTAAGATACTAAGATTACCTTAAATAATGTTATAATCTTCAGGAAGGTAATGTAGAATTACGGGAACATAAGATTACCTCTTTAATGTGAGATTAAAAGAACGTACGATTACAAGGTGCAAAACCCTGATTTAAGGGCAAAAATGATATATATTACCAGAGTCATCTTATAATGCCAAATAACCCCATGGCAATAAGATAAACCCCCATAATGATCTCATTGTCCTATGCATCGTTGACTCAAGTCTGAACCAAAAAGACAACCTGACATTAGGTTCCTAACATCACCCACCTAAGATCACTTGAACTAAATGCCTCCTTCAGAAATTATCATCTTACAGAAAAAAATTCACATTCCAAAATGCACAAAGAAGGGTTGTGGCTGAATCTTTCCTGTAGTAAGTGAAGGTATAGATACCATACTATCACAACTATCATCTCTTGAAACGATATTAGAAAGATAGTGCAATTAATTCTCATTCAAACAACCTTGTTAAGTAAAGAGTCTTCAAAATCTCGGGCCTTTTGGAGACTCATATTATCAGTTGCAGCAGCAACATAGAACCTTGGCTTAAACATGTCTTCTTGAAGTGCAGACAATAAGTTCATCATTTCTGCCGTGTGACCACCTGCATAAAAATGAATACCAGATATCAGGAGCGAAAAAAAGGAATAATGAACTGTTAAGCATTTGCAGAATTTGGCAGGATCCAATTAGCACCTGAACCCAACACAATGAGTGTCTTCAGGGGCCGTGATGGTCTGGGTTGAAGTGGCTTGCTGCTTTGGTAAATGACAAAAACAACCCTAATCAAAACAGTCGTCACCGCACCAATAAAGAGAGGGATTGCAGTATTGCCACTGTCCATCATGATCACCTTATCTAAATCCCAATATCTCATGTATAAATTTTCCACGGCCGTCCGTACTGGTAACCTATCTTGTATCTTCTCCTAGAACTCCATCACCACAGTTCAAGTTTCTTCCTTTACCTGTGTCACTTAGCCAGTCCTGTGTTTTTGCCGCTTATACTTAAGATCCCATCATGGGCTTATTTAAATAAAACATTACGCTCACCTTATTGTATACTTATGGAACACATTCAAAACGATAACGAAAGTTGACTAAATAGAATAAAGTACACATTATGTTTTTTTACAGGACAGGTTTTCATAATCTTATTAAATTGTAAGAAAATATCTCTCACGATTTAAACTGGAAAGATAGCCAAATTATATTGATTACCATTATCTAGTATATTCATGTGGTATACCGTAAAATTCAAAATTACATCCAGAAATTGCAAACAAAAAAATCAGGCACTAGGTAGCGGTGTTCCAGAAATTGCGGATTAACCTAAGAATTTAAACAAAAACTGTACAGGTTAATTAGGCACTAGGTAGCGGTGTTCCAGCATTGTCTGCGTTAACAGTACACAAACCTTATTATGTACTACCTCCGTCCCTAATAACTTTGCCAAATTTGACCGGCACGTGGATTAATAAAGTAAAAACTGTGTGGTTGAGGTTTGTGCAGAGGAGAGAGAATTAACTGGAACCACAAATTCTTTACTTAAATGGGAAAGTGGCAAAGTTAATGGGACATCCAAAAAAGGAAAGTTGGCAAAGTTATAAGGGACGGAGGGAGTATTAAAAAACAAAAGTTTAAGCTAATTTAAACAAAACGATATTGGAAAAACTATCAATAGGTCTTCGTACTCATGCAGTCATATACTCATATGAAACCTGATTAATCAAGTGTTCTTGAAGTACAAGGGCTTAATTTCTGTTTTTCATAAAGTACGAAGGCCTATTTGACAGTTTTCCCGAATGATATTTAATAGTTAATACGGAATACAACAATCTCTTTAGGCATCGGAGGTCAGCAACACTCAATTCAGTATCCAGGGGTGAGTGGTGTCGCCTACTTGAGTACTTGTAGTGTCGATTGAAGTATGTCGTCTCTCGTCAATGCCGTGTTCGACTTTTCAGAAAATCAATCAATCGACTTAACTAGGGTCTATACAGAACAAGAAAAACGGGCCTATTCTAATAGGATTTTCTTGGACCTGGGCATTGAACCCTTAATATCATTTTATATGTGTCCTAAAATAAAAAGACACAGATTAAACTTTTTGTCCATTTACTTTCTATTAATCATTGTCTTGGTTATATGAATCACAAAATTTCAGTAGGCAAAAATACTGTTTTTTCATTATATGACAAATTTTTAAAACACATATACGCAACCTTCAAACTCTTCAATTAAAGTGATATAGACTTTGATATTTGTATTCAAATACGTTTCATCCTAAAGAAAGTGTGGATATGACAAGTCTTCTTATATATTTAAAGCTATGCTATTTTTCTCATTAAAGAGATTGTCATTCACAATGCAAATGTATATGTATGCACTTCTAACCAATGTGATTTGCGTTAGAGAGAACAGATAATGCTTAGTTGATGATTAAAGTGTATAAGGTAATATATCAAACATTTGAAATTATCATAATGTATTTGGTAATATAATCAATATGTGAGCTTATAATACTCCCTCTGCCTCCCTAGAGTAATAAAAGGTAAATATAAGCTCACAAAGGTAAATATAAGCTCACATATAGCAAATTAGCAGTACCAGGAGGCAGGAGGTGAGAACTGAGAAGGGCAGGGGCGAATGCAGGGGCGGATCCAGAAAGTTACAATGGAGTGGGCTGAGAAATAAAATTTGAAGAACCATACATTATAATACGTCAAGTCATCAACTTCAAAGTATGAAATTCATCAATAATAGAATCTACATCTATATTGTTGAGAAAATCTCATTTAATGTAGATCATCAATGAATCTTTAAGAAAATGATTTCTCATTTTGTTACGAAGTACCATCTTTACATGCTTGATTGGTATGAATTAAGATACTTGGTATGAATTAAAATACCTCTATAATAAAATTATAAAACTGATAAGAAAAAAAGATCCTTGTACATAAAACTAATAAGTATTCCCGATTTCAAAATTCAATTGAAATTTTTAATTCTTTCGTACATGTCCGCACAATAAATAAATCATTCTCTAATCTCCAATTGTATAATAAATAGATCATTCTCTAATCTTTAATTCTATCTTTAATTATTAAAAATTTATAATGGATAAATATTATTTTATTATGTTTGAAAAATCCAATTAATAATCAAATAGACTTACAAAAAACACAATAACACAAAGTCACAGAATCATACAATGTTTAACAAACATAACACAATGACACAAATCACACAAATACTCCGGGCCCTCTGTGTTAATCAAATAGATTAACAATGTTTCACAAAATAATACAATGTTTAACAAATAATACAATGTTTAATCAAGAGAAAAAAAAAGTCTAAAATAGTATTAGAGTATACATGGAAGCCTGGAACCGGAGGCAGAGCCGCAGAGAGCACTCAGGGCAGGGTCGGACTCGGACAACCGGAGAAGGAAGACGCCGAAGCAGGGCCCTGTACGCGAGGACGGAGGGCGACAGCGCGGCTTGTGGTTGCAGGTCGACTGGTGACTGTCTTCGTCGCAGCGCTGCTACTTCCTCTTCGTCTTCGCAGTTCCGCACTTCCGCTTCGCACACTGCAGATTTGCTCGAGTGGAATAGTTTGGCACCAGGCTTGGATTGTGGGCTGAGTATTAATTTTGGGATGGGCGGGAGGTGGGCTGGACTTTAAACTTATATCTATATTAATATTAATTTTTTTTTTTTTGCTTTTGTTAGTCTATGTTAATATTAATTAAAAAAAGAGTAATTATACTCACGGCAATCAATTTATGGTGTTTTTAGTTCCAGATCAGACTTAAATATTTATAAAATACACAAAGATTGGACATTACCAGATCATATTAGATCAGATCTGACTAGAATATAAAATTTCAGCTCGAGTAAAAACATTCTTACTATTCTCACAACCACACAATTAAATTTTAATAAATTATATAATCTCAAATATCTAAATTGCCCTTAATTATTGATATAGCAAGACAACGCCATTTCCCTCCCTTCCGGCTTCCGAAGTGTTCAATTCAATCTCTCTGATGATGAATCTCTGCAAATCAATTAACACACGGAGCCAAACTGATCTTTTAATCTCGATATTGGCAGAAGGGCATGTCCCCACAAAACGTCAACCTGTCTCCAAGAGACTTAAGATTTCTACCATCCATAGGCCGATCCAAGGGCGGATCATATAGGGACTGTTCGTTTTTCAGCGGATTCATGCCAACCCGCTGCTTTTAGCAGCGGTTTGTAGTTCAAAAAGAGTAGTGGATTGCTCAATCCGCCGGTATACAAACGGGACCATAATCTTGCCCTTATTGGGCTGCTTCTATGGCTCATTTGGTGCAAGAAATGTCAGATTACCATGTGAATGTTACATTGTTGGGTATGCTAAGTTGATGGGAATGTATCCAATTTCTCCCATTTGTGTTTGGTTAAGATCAAGGGAATATGATATTAATTTAGTTGGTTGAAAGATATCTAATATTCTAAATTTGGTGAATTACTTCAATGCCCTTTAAATATTTTCTCTTAACACAATAAATCTATTACAACCTACATCTAAGTAATTGAAGATAAAAAAATGAAATATCTTAATAAAAAATAAAATCTAAACTAATAGAATTATTTTTAAGTAAAGTATATACTAAATAAAATCTAAACTAATTGAATATAATTAAATACTACCTCCGTCCCCCTAAGTTTGGGACAAAAGAAGGTGTCACAGTCATTAATAAAAGTGTATTTATGTGGTTGATATTGAAATGATAAAGTAAGAATAAATTAAGAATGATTTAGAACCACACAAACTTTACCAAATAAGGTATGAGACAATCTTAGTGAGACGGACCGAAATGGTAAAATGGGACAATCATAGCGGGACAGAGAGAGTAAATAAACTTCATATGTACCACTTAAAATTAACTGATCTATGTCAACAAGCACAAGTTATAAAATTCCGAACATTTTCCCTGTTCTCAAAAGTTGCTTTGATTTTCCATTTGAAAAGTTGAGCTTGAGCACTACATTCAACAATTTTTGGTTCCCTATTCTATAATTTTTTGTTGTTCAAAGTCTCAATCTTCAGTTTTATTTCTTTTTTAGTAGGATTGGAGTCCCTATCTTCATTTCAGGACACACATGTCTTTATTAAACATAAAGTTGTGATGCCTTTATATCAAGCTTGTTTTATATGTACAGAAGAATTGTAGCTTGAGTAAGGGGCTGTTTACTTTTTTTCTCATTAAGTTCTGTGTGGATTAAGATGTATGTCTGTATTAAGACGTCTGTCTAGAATAAGTGACATTGATATAACAAGTTGTTTACTATGTGTGCCGAATGTATGCCCTGAATTATATTAAATTACCAATTTATCCTTATGTTTGTATTCCTGTAACAAATGCTAGATACGAAGTACTCCGTATATATTATCTCTTTCCTTTTATTATTCTGAACGAGGCCATAAAAAGTTTATGCTCTGCCAAATGCTATTAAAACCAGCAGAATTTACCCAATATGCAATAGTCTTCTTCTTCGTATACATATTTCTCCTAATTTTATAGTTTTGGGTAAAGTTGGTTAAAGTATTTTTTGTGAAGCATCTCCTTTCACAAATTTAAGAAGAAAGTTTTACTCTCTGGGTTCCGACCCCTAATTGCATAGGTGACACTATTCCTCCTCCCCCCCCTCCCACAAGCAAGCTTCCAACGAAAATAATTGCAGGGGCAAGCTCTCTCCATTTCCCAGATTTTGTCGTGGGGGATGTAGCTTTGGTCGTTAGCGATGAAATGGATTTAGACAAGTGATGTCGGCGATGAGAGGTGAAGGCGGCGACTAATTTCGATGCTAAAGACAAGCGAAGAATGAAGTATCAGATGTGAATGCAGAAGCCAACGATGGAGAAGCAAGGGTTAAAAACGAGACTCTATTAAATTGAGGTGTCTGAGCAGGAAGGACAATCAAATGCTAGCTGAACGAATAAGTGACAAAGTATCTGAGCGAATAAGACACAGTTTGCATTAAGTTCTAAGTAAACAAGACAATATGACTGAACTAATAAGTTATCATTTCAATTAAGTCGGTTAAGTCGTAAGTAAACAGGCCCTAAGCAAGTTCTCCAAGTTTGTTTTGGTTTCCTTGCATTAAACATCAAGCATTTTAATTTATAATATGCTTTGATATTATATCAATGACTTAATGACAGATCTAGTGATGTGATAAGACTGCATTTTCTAATATTCCGTGAGTTTTATCTCAGTCTCTTGTTTCTATGCAAATTGACCGATGGTAATTGATTGTTAACAATTGCTTGCAGAATTGGAGGACATCCTAGCACAAACTATTAATCAATCATGTATGTTGTGCTTGCATTTCTCCTCAAAGAATGCAGAAATAAAATGAATATATATACTTTAATTACATGTTCACAAATATCTATTTTAGGTGCTAATAACCTGGAGAACTTTAAAAAGTTGGCAAAACACTTCCAAAAACAACCTATCTCGGGTATTGGCGCAACTATTACTGAAGAAGACGATGATGATGTGCCTGAGCTGGTGGATGGTGAAACTTTCGATGAAGCTGTTGCAGTTGAGGATCATAAGTAAAACTTGGCTACTTTTTGTGTGAATCAAGTACTTCTTTTTTATCATTCTCTATGTTTCACCGTTGTTTATTCAAGCTAAGCAATCATTGAACTCTACAAGTTTTGAATTCACTTTACCATGTGTCCAATAATTGTTATGTGTAATTGTAGGGTGCGTCAATAGTTTATATTAAGAAATGCATTTTAAATAACCACAAATACTGAAGTGGTGATCGTTTCTTTTAAGTCGACTTAGGAAAGTGAATAATGAAGTTGGTAATTAAGTTAATCAGAACATGGTCTAAATGTCTAATGTGAAGTTCTCATAGAGGTTTTGAGGGAAAAAATAAAGAAGCTAAATTAAGGAATGAAACGATGCTACGACAAAAATCACCAAAAAAATAACAGGATGTGAATACATCGATGAGAGACGAAAGCACTTTGCACTTTGCAGACTATGTCCTTTGATTTTCAATTTTCGTGTATGAAATAATTACATATTTATGATTAAAATAAAGATTATTTACAAAAATTTGACTAGTGATTAGAGTGGTAATGAAATTATAGGAATTTATGTTCAATTTTTAAACTTAAATTACCATTATACTACATTGTAGTAATTATTAGTCACATTTGTGTAAATAAATTTTATTTTAATAATATTTTTTACAACAACCCAATACACTATGCTACTCTCATATTTTGTCCATTATTCAACGACACAAATATTTCCGATCCACATCACATGAGATTGAACTATTAATATTGCGAGTATGTATAATATACCACTACTAACACTAATGGGAAAATATGCACCACATTGATCATTATTCATCGTCAATTGAAATAAAGCGAAGTCTTTAGATATTTTTCTAGCCTTGCACACTTTGCTTTTCACATGTTCCAGTCATTCTAAATAACATTGAAATTCAATTAGATATTTTTTGAATTCAAATAAATGAATACCCACAATACAATGTTTTTGGTAAACACCGGATAATTAAAGAAGATGATGGTTATAAATAACACTAAGATTTAATATTAATAAAATATGGTATATATAAAATAATAAATTGTGGCTAAAACAATTTATAAGATTTTTGTAAACCTTCAACGCTTATTGATGTGAGTGAATTTTACACATAGGTTAAATCTTAGATTAGTTCATGAGATTAAAAGCATACCATGGGAGGGAGTAGTAATTTAAAATATACTACGGCTTTGTTTGCAACCACTTCTGCTTAAATAAAAGCACTTTTGGGAAAAAAGTGATTAGTAGTAAAAGTTGGTAGTGTTTGGTAAAATAAGTGCTTTTTGTGTAATAGAAAAAATAAAAAGTAGATTCTACACGGAAGCCGAGAAAGTAAAAGTTGATAGTGTTTGATAAAATAAGTGTTTTTTTCTTTAAAAAAAGCTAGAAGCACTTTTTTTAATGGGTTGCAAACAGACCCGTACATCACCACGGAAGTATTAGTTTCAATATTTTTCGCTAACTTTAACATTTAGAATTTGTTTGGTTTCGGGATTTGGAGGTAAAGGGAGGAAAGTAGTGATTTTTGTATTTTACTAATTTATCTAAAGTTGTTAGTTTCATACTGCAAATAACTACGTAGTATATACTACGTAATTAGTTAGGATGTTTTCTTTTTGGACTGAAGTTTATTGGTCTGGTCTGGTTTGATCTAGTCTGGTCTGGTCTGATAAATGTTTGAACTCTGTATATTTTATAATTGTCCAAGTCTGGTCTGATCTGTATAAATCTGGTCTGATCTGTTTAAGTCTGGTCTGGTCTGATCTGGGAGTGAAAACAGTCCAAAAGAAAACATCCTTAGACCGTGTATTTTTATAAATTATTTTATCTTCACTTTATATAATTTTTTCTTGATTGTAAAAATTATTTAAATTTTCATATGACCCCTCCCGCCCTTACTCTCCAACTTAATACTACAAACTATCTCCGACACCCAATGGTGCTCGGGGCACCTTTTTCCCTATTAATGGACACATTTGTCATCTTTCTTTAGTTCATACAGAATACTT